AATTCTCTCCTTAGCTGTTCAATCTTGTCGGTAAAGTAGCATGCAAAGCTAACGGCTGTAAGATGAGTTTGGGGGGTGGCCACAGCAGGGCAGAGAAGAGAGTTAAAGGTGTCAAAGAGACGTGTGGAATTGCGGGAGCATGACTGTTTGACAAGGACAAGGGCTGTGCGGTATGAACACAATATGAATCTATAATGAAGATAGTCTGCCTGGGTGCGGGACTTCCTCCAGGAGCATTCAGCACGACGAGAGCAACTCTGCAGATAATGTGTTTATTTAGTATGCCAAGGTTGGGGGCGTGTCCTCCTCAAGGTGCATGTTTGGAGTGGGGCTGCAGCGTTCAAGGCGAGGGTAGTGTTATATGTGGAGATGGCCAATGAGGGACAGGAGAGGGAAGGGATGGATAGCAGTTGTGAAACAATTTCAGCTGACAGCTGCTGGAGGTCAATAGAATTAATGTTCCTCCTGAGTGGAGGGGGTTAGGCTGAGGTTGTTGGGTGAGGGGGTACTCGAGAGCAAGCAATAAGAGGTGGTGATCAGAGAGAGGAAATGGAGTGTTGCAGATATTAGATACTGTACATTCATAAGAGAAAATAAGGTTGAGGGTATTGCAAGCTACATGGGTGGGAGAATTAGCCCATTGCAATAGCCCGAGGGAGGAAGTAATTGAAAGTAGTTTAGAGGCTGCTGAGGCCAAAGGTGGGTTAATGACAATATTGAAATCTCCAAGAATTAGGGATGGAATATTAGAAAAGAGGAAAAGGGTTAGCCAGGCAGCAAAGTGGTCAAGGAAGAGGAGAGGGGAACCAGGGGGACGATAGATAATGGCAATGTTAGCAGAGAAGGGTTTGAAAAGGCGAATTGAATGAATTTTAAATGATGGGAAAGAGAGGGAAGGGGGGATGGGCAGAGTTTCTAAAGAAGCTGTGGAGTGAAAGAAGAAAACCTACACCGCCACCTTTAATCTCTGCTTGTCTTGGATTGTGGGTAAAGTGAAGACCACTAAAGGATAGTGAGGCAGGGGTAGCAGTACCAGAAGGAGAGAGCCATGTTTCTGTTAGTGCAAATAGGTTTAGGGAGTGTGAGATAAATAGGTCATGGATGGAAGTTGATTTAAATGTGCTGCACACAGAGCGTGCATTCCAGAGGGCAGCTTTAAAGGAGGAATTATAGTTAGAGTTACATGGAATGGGTAATAGGTTGTTGTGGTTTCTGGTGTTAGTACCAGGTGGCTTGAGAGACCACGGTTTGGAGAAACATCACCAGCTGTTAGGAGCAGTAGAAGGGAAAGGAAGAGAAGGTGGGAGTAAGATTTTAATGTTGGGGATGAGAATTTGTATAAAGGGGATTTAGGAGGGGTTTGTGGAGAAAGACTGGATAAATATGAGTAAAGTGCATGTGATGAATACAGAGATGAGGGAAGCAGAGAGGGAGC